TCCTGGGTTCAAGCCCCGCATTGGGCTTTCTGCTCAACGGGGAGCCTGCTTCCTCCTCTCTCTCTGCCTGCCTCTCTGCCTGCTTGTGATTTCTCTCTGTCAAATAAATAAATAAAATCTTTAAAAAAAAAAAAAGTCCACATGAATCACTTATTTTCATCCAGCTTTTTCTAGACACATATGCAATCACACCTTAAAAGTGGAATAATTATGGAAACACTTTTCAGTTATCTGCTTAATTCTGTTTGTATTCTAAGAAGATCTTATGGTGTCAATGCATTTTCATTCTCACCACTTTTTATGACACTCCATATATCCTGTTGGATGAATGTATCACAGTTCATTTAACCAATATTCTATTATCACTAGGCTATTTCTTAGTTTTCCATGTTATAAACTTTTCTGCAAGGCTTTCTCTGTAATTAAATCTTTGCACACATCAATAATTGTTTCTTGACATACATTCTCAGAAATTGGAGGCTTTGTGATTTTTGTGTCTTAGAACACAAAAGAAATATTTTAGCCATAGCAAGAGGCAACTGGGATGAGGGCATAGTTTCTCTCTTCTTTTCATGTGCTTTTGAGGATAGGGAACTCTGCAACTACGGGATCCTTTGAAAAGGAAAAAATATCTCCCTTGAAATAGTGACCAGCCAGGTGGTTGATGTCTGTCAAAAGAAAAGATCAGCTACAAAATGGCTGTTGGCAAACAGGTGGACTGTGAGGACGGAGCAGACTCTGTCGCCATGATCAGATTATACAGAAATGGTTCACAGCTGGGGACCGTTTTGCCCCTCAGGGAACATCTGGTAGTGTCTGTAGATATCGTTGACTGCCATGACCAGAGGAGATGCTATTGCACCTACTGGGCAGAGGCCAGGGATGATACTAGGCCTAGGTGCATAAGACCACCCATGGAACAAAGAAGGATCTGGTTCACGAGGTCAGTATTGTTGAGGCTGAGAAAACTTGTGGTAGAACAAAAAGAAAAGGAATGTCAGTGTATCTCTGGAAACCCTGGCATAGCATTTAAACACTCCTCATTGAAAATTTTATGTGTGTTTTAAATATTTTTCTCCAAAGGACTCTTCAGTTACCCAACATATTTGCCTTGTCTTAGACTTGAGTACCAACCACACTGAGGGACACAGGAGGTCTGTGCACAGTGTAGTCCTGCTTGCTTCTGGTTTCTATTAGGATTAATCTGGGCAGGTGTGTGTGTGTGTGTGTGTGTCCTAACTATAGAGACTGTCTTGTGAGGAAGATGGAGAGGAATTCAGGCTGCCTGATTTGTCTCAGCATGATGATAAACATGGTGATGTAAAAGATTGACTGAGTTCTTGGCAGAACTAAACCAGACCTAAAAACTGGATGCCTGTCCCAGGGCTAGTCTTTGTTTTTAAGGGAGACAGCTTTATCTCTCTAGAGTTCGCAGAGCTGCCTGGTCCAGCCACACTGCATGTTTCAATCATGCAGCAGCCAGTCCTGATTGTGATGGGCTTAGCTGAAATAGGAGTAAAATGATGTTTATAAGCATCAAAAGAAGAGGATGGAAGAATTGGGCACTTTTCCCACAGTGCAATAATTCATCTGTGAAACACATGCAAAAGTTGAGGCTGAAAACAACTTGGCACTGATCAATTCATCACGTTTTTTATTGAGTACATATTAAGGCTGGCTCTGTGTACAGCCCTTGAATATAAAGATGTATAGGATAGATAGCCAAATGTAGTAACATATGGGCAGTGCAGGAGCACCTAGGTGACTCAGTCATGTAAGCCTCTGATTTGATTTCAGCTCTGGTCATGATTTCAGGGTTTTGGGATCGAGCCCCATGTCAGGCTCTGCACTCAGTGTGGTGTCTGCTTGAGATTCTCTCCCTCCCTCTCTGCCCCTCTCTTCACTTGTGCTGGTTCTCTGTCTTTGTCTCTCAAATAAATAAATAAATAAATAAATAAATAAATAAATGAAATCTTGGGGAGGAAAAGTATATGGGCAGTGCTATTACGCACAAGTATTGAATGAGTATGTAATAAGAGAAGGACCCAACATGATGATTAAGAGTGGACTCTGGTGCTCTTTGTGACCCTGGGTCTTTGTGACCCTATTTAGGTAAATTTTTCTTATCTTTTCTGGCTCTTAGTTTCTTCATCTGTAAAATAGAGAGAATAATTGCTGTGAGGACCAAGTGAGCTAATCCACATAAAGCATTTGAAATAGTGCCAAGTGTTCACTATGGCTATCATAATTCTGTACTAGTTCCCAGATCATAAAGAAAATGTGTGAGGTCACCTATGATTCCTCTTGGGCACAGCAAAGAAGGAATATTAGAGAAAAGGAAGTAATTCCCTAGCTGAGTCTTAAAAGGTGAGCAAGGCAGGCAGACAAGACAGCAATAGCATGATAAGCAAACAAAACAGTGTGTGCAAAGGCTCTGAGGCACATAGGAACAAGGCATCCTAGAACTGTAGGTATCTTGCATTTGCTTGGATTATAGGTTTCTTGTGGTGACTTTTGGCAATGTGACTATGAAAGTAAGCAGAGGCTGGATTCCTAAGGGCTTAATGTGCCTTGCTAAAGGGTGTTAATATTAGGTAGGATGTCTTTTGCTAATGGTTGAATACCCACCTCAAAAAGACTTGGTAAAAATGGCATGAATAGTAACTGTAACTGAAAAGTCCCAGGGAAGCCTGGCTATAGGCATGTCTAATGTTCGAAAGGAGACTCTCTTTATCTCTGTCCTTACTCCTCCTGTGTGTGGCTCCATTTCAAATGGAATTATGGTCTGTGATGGTAGAATAGCTTGTGGAGTCTCACAGGCTCAAGTCCAATGGGAAAGAATGAGACTCTCTTCTAGAGAAGTCCTAGTAAAGTCTCAGTCTCTAATTGAGTCACCTGAATCAATTATATTGGTGAGTGCAATGCTATGCTCTGATTGTTCAGGCCAGTGATTTACATAGTATCGGAGTCAATTCCTTTTAGAAGCTCAAAGATTTAGCATGTAAAGGAGGGTGGTCCTTCAGAAGGAAATCAGGTATGAATACCAGAAAAAGGATATGGAATGAATACCAGATAACAAAGTCTCCAAAAGTTCCTGGCCCCTTTCATACTGCAGGGATTGGAGGGCCATTGTTGGTCTTTAAACTGTGGATTGACATGATCATAACTGTAATTGGAGAGAATGTATTGGAGGGTTGTGGCTGGAGGCAGAGGGTCAGTTAGAAAGTTTTTACTCATCTGGGGAAGTAACGATGAGTGTAAGAATGAAACCTCGACATTGGGGATGGAAAGATGTGATGACTCAGAACTGTATGTGTAAGAGCTGGAAACATTAAGGAATTTATACTGAATAAAATTCAGTGGGAAGGGGAAGAACAACATCAACAATGTCCCTTAGGTTTGGCTTTGGTGACAGGTGGGGTATGGATGTTGTTTGTTGGAAGTGGAGGCTACAGAAGGTGAGAGAGTAGAAGGTATCAGACAACACGTTAGTCAATTTCTGAAATATTTTTATGTCCATGATCTGTTTTCACAGACTGGCACAGAAGAAGTATATTCAAAGTTTATAGAACCTTCTTATCACTGCAAACAACATCATTCACAATGACGAATGACCCGGGAATGCCCTTTTGCATGCACAGGTACAAGGAAACAGACATGTCCCGAAAGTGTGCTACACAGGCACACACATGTTTTGTGCTGTTCTCACTTTTTAAAAATTTGTTTTGCCCTTTTATTCTCACCTGATTCTGACTAATGCATTCTTTCTATGTTTTATCTGTCTTTGCAAGTGACTCTAAATCCTTTCTGGAACAAGATGTTATATAGTTAATAAATCTCTCTTAATACATATTCATTACAAGTCAGCTCTCACAAAGCATGATTGGAATGAGACTTAGAATTCTTTTTTTTAAACCCAAATCAGTCTTCCATTATTTTTTTACGCAAATACCCATAAATGTGGATAAATGCCATCTGTCATTTCTTTTTTAAGGAATAAAAGATACCTATGTTTGCTTAAGGAGTTTATTCTTTTATTACCAAAATAGTCTTTCCTTTCCCACTTTAGGTCTCTGGTCCCCATCACCAGCCCACCAGATATTTCAAAATAAAATTCATCTTTGGGCCTAGGACCAGCTGAAGAAGTGCGAGTTTAAAAAAGCTACTCAAAATAGGCTTTGTAATGAAAGAAACATTTAAAAGGTAAGTAAACAATGTCCACAAAATGAATGCATGAATGGATCGCAATCAGAAAAAAAAAATTAAATTACACAATAATTTTGTGGGTCATGATTTTCTACAATAAATCCTTTTTTTCCAGTTTCTCCAGCAAATCCCATGGTCTTCAAAGGGCCCATATTTTCATGTTCCTCAGATGAGCTTCTGCTGTTGGCTGTTTTTTACACTCTGTAACCTGGCCTTCCAGGTCCAGCTGTTATGTCATAGCAGGTGACTATTCCAAACCACCTTTGCTTTCTCTTCTTCTCTACTTTCATTGCTCTTGGCCTTCCAGATCTGTGTCCTGACTCTGGAGGAGAGCAACCAATGGGCAAAACATGGCATGCAGGAGAAGATGTTGGGAAGTAGGTCTGCCAATGGGAGAAGCAGGCATTGCCCTTACACATTGCTGCTTGATCACTGCCAGTGTCATCTCTGATCACAGCAGCCCCCAGCTCTGGGACACACAGGGACCCCAAGGTTCCTCATAACTGAGGTCCACATTTGTCAGGTTGACATTTGGGTCTCTTCTGGGTCTGTGTTCTTACTTTCGTGCTTTGTCCCCATTCTTACCTCTCTCCCTACCTTGGCCCTTCTATGTCCCAGCTACCTCAGAAAGTGCAAGGGGCAGAAGAGATTTCCCAAGCCCTCTTCTCTCACCCCCCAATTTGAGAGTAAACATGTCCCCCTCAGCATTTCTTCCAGAGCATTTGTCTCTATGTCCAGTTTAGCACTTAGCATGTTTTAGTCTGCTCATTTCCAGAATTCTTGGTATTTTGTGTATGTGTGTATGTGTGTGCATGTCATTTCCTTTCTCATGTCCTTGGAAATTGGGTGGCAGGGGCTGGGCCGTGTTCACCTTGGTGTTCCTCCACCATCACAGAATCCTGTGGTGACTCACACAGAGGAAGCATAAAAAAAGCTTATCAAATAAATGAGCCAAGAGAGAACACATGGAAGGAGGAGCAGAAGCCACCAAAAAGGAAGAGAGTAAGGGGGCAGCAGATGGGAGAGAATCCTGACTGGGATGGAATGGTGAAGAACTGTGCTGCAGTAGGGAACCAGACACTCACCCCGAGAGACCGCGGGACTGTGGGAACTGTGAGGCTTGGAAGGGACAGTTATTTGTTCAGACATCTGGCTTCTCTTCATCTTCCTCCCGTTCACCCCCATCAACACATGATAAATCAGTGAACATATACTTCACTTTACTTGAATTCCATACTTTGGAGATCTATAAGAAATAATTCCTCCTGACAATGTAAAGTAGTGCCCTCATTCTTGCACAAGCTAAGAGGAATAATAATTGTCTTGGGAAACTGACAGGCTAAAGGATTTAGGAGAATGCTCTCCAGACTGATCTCAGTAACTTGTGTCTCTTCATTTACATTATTCCTCTCGGGCCCCCTCTATCTCTTAGATTTTTACCCCTTCCAATGGCAAATACCAGTGGTGTTATGAGGGTGAGATGGGGTGAATGCAGCTGCTGAATTCATGTTTTCTTTGTATTCCTCCCACCTCCTTAAATACACACAACTTGGAATGCTTAGCGTTTTTCCATGTGTGAAAGTTTCTCTGTCTCCCTTCTCCAGGATAGAGCAGCTCCTATGTGCATCCAGCTTCGAGTCAGTCTGTCAGGGCTCATCTCACTGAATTGTGACAGTATGCTCATCACACACCAGCCTGTATGAAGGTAGAGACTTTGTTTTAACTCACTATTAAATCTGACCCACCACCACTGTGTCTGGGTTACACAGGCCTACTAAAGAGTTGTGAGCGAATACATACACAAGCGTGAAGGAACAAATAACAAAACAGAGGAAATTAGTGCTTCACTTTAGCTTGCCAGAAATTACTCAGTATCTCTTACCTTTAGTTTTGACTTTTGAGAATCGTTAAAGGCTTCGTCTCGGGTGTTATGATTCTCTTAAACAGCAAGCAAATATGCAATTTTATGAAGATTTAATGAGACAGTATCATTGCCAGCTGATTTTATCACTCAGGGAGTTTAATAGAAAATTTGTTAACATTGTCTTTAATTTGTTTAAATATTTATGAACATTGCTTTCGAGAGGATTCTTATCTGGGGTTATTGTTTTATAGAATTCATTTTGGTGTGCTTTCAACCATTTGGTGGTTGATATTGCTTTAATAGATGCTGCTAGAATTCTCTGTAAGTGCTTTGGAATCTGAGTGGGAGTCTCTTTGGATTTCATTTCTGCTTGCTCCACCTTCCAAGGCCCCGGATTAAATCAAAGTGTCTGCCATAAGGATCTTGGAACATTCAGGACATGAGTCCTAATCACAGCTCATCATCTTCAGATATGGAATCTAGATAATCTGTGTCAACATATAGGAGAAATCCGGAGAACAAGCTGTCTGCCCAACCTGGGTCTGAGAAGAGGCCGTTCTGGTCAGTGAAGAAGATCTCCAGCCACACTTCATCTTCTGGCTGCAGATAGATGACCGTGGACCCGGAAGCGACGTCATGGTTCCCTGTGTTGGCGTCGAATGTCTTTATCTTGTACTGCCCGTTGTGAACGAGCCCGATTGCCAGATGCTTATTTGCCAATGTGATATCATAAGAAAAGTAATAGATCCCTGGGAAGGCACAGATGAACTTCCCTGTGGCAGGGTTGTAGTGCTCTCCCTCATTGAAGAGGACCTTGTTAAATATAATTGGTAGCCTTTCTTCTGGGTAGCTGGTAGTGATGCCAACAGAAAAGGCAGATTTGAGCACAATGCTTCCGCATCTACAAACTCCAGGCAGCCCTGGGTCCCCTTGCTCTCCTCTGTCCCCCTTTGCTCCAGGAGGCCCAACTGGACCTACTTCTCCTTTTTCTCCCTCTGGTCCCATGGGTCCTTTCTTCCCAGTCTCTCCTTGGTCCCCTTTCTCTCCAACAAGGCCCAGTGGTCCAGTCTTACCTCTCAAACCTTTAAAAAGAATTTACAGTTTAATTGATAGTTCCTCCATATATACAGTCACAAACAGCATGCCCCACAAAGTGCCAGAACACCCTAGATGTGTCTCTCCAATCAACTTTCAAGAGTAAACTACTAAATACTAATGCATCTTTAAAAAAAAAATCACTGATGCATTAAAATGGAAATAGAAAAATTTCATCAGAATTTCAGGTTAGTGTTCCTGAGTACATGAGAAATCATTTAAATGCTATTTCAATGATGAATCATCTGCAATGAAATCAGTCACATACAGTATTTGTCACTACAGGAGAAATTCAGTGAGCATAATGATATTATTCCCCAGAGTGGGGTCATAGGGGCAGACAGAACCAGATGAATCCTTCAAGGCTATTTTGTCTTATGCCCCATTCCACTTCTATCGGTATTAATAATACAAGAATTAATGAAGATTAGATTAGCTCATATTTATTCAACATTTACTATGTACCAGGGACAGCACTTTATTCACAGACATTGTCTTCTTTAGGCCTTGCAACAACTTTATGAATTAGGAAATTACTATTGCTTCCCTTGCAGGTGGGGAGACTGAGCCACAGAGAAGTTTGTTTGTTCAAGGGAACAGGTAGTAAGTGATGGAGCTGTGACCTGAACTCATGCCTGCCTGACTCTGGAGCTTGAGCATCCCCCCAAGGCAGGTGCTGGAGTGTACATTGTAGAGTGCACCAGCATGTAGTGAGGGTTCAATATGCTACCATAACCAAACAACAGTGAGGGCCACCCCTATGCGGTAGTCCTTTTTTGGAGGAGAAAACTGAATCCCAGAGAGGGGAAGAAACTTGCTTCTGTAGCAAGGTTAAGACTGGAATCCAAGTCCTAGTGTAATGATGCTTCCCCTTCATCAAAGTGCCTCTTACCTTTGGGGCTGGAATCAAGAATCCTAAAGTCTGTTTGGCTTTGCAGCTAAATGGTTGTATCATTTTAGGCAAGTCCCTTAATTTCTCTGGGTCTCCTTATATATAGAAAAGACATAATATCTGTGAAAGGATTTCAACAAATTCAAAATCACCACAGTGAAATATTTTCTGTTTGTCTAAATCTTTATACCTACAGATCAACCACAGGCTAAATGCAGAGAAATTATGATCATTGGTTGAAAGGGATAAGCAACATCTATTCAATTTTTAAACCATATATATAATATATGTAATGTATATTACATATTATTTATATATTATATAAAATATATGTTATACATATGTTATATATATGTTATACATATATAATATATAATATGTATTATATTATATAAAATACTTAATTAAAATATAAATTAACAAAATATGAAATGTCATTTAATTTTTATGGTCAAATCCATTCCATAAATAATGCTTGTATAATGATACATCCTCAAAAATATCCAAATTATTGGTAATTTATCATGGCTTTTGTAGTCAGGGAAAATATATTATTGGTATACTGTGTAGTTATCTACATACTCTTTTAACTATGTATTTGTTCTCAGGAACTTTTATTAAGCTAAACCTTTTTATCTTAATAGTGCTCTGGTATCATTTATTTGAATATTAGATGTATATCAGTGCTTGAGCTTAATAATTTTTCAGTTATTTGGCAAATGTAGGAAAGAAATATTCTGAATAATGTAAATTTGGGGAGAATTAATGCTATACCCTTAAAATGTACAGTATTTTGTTTTAGTAATTTTGGGAAGAGGTTTTTTAACAATTTATGATGCACAGAAGAATCTAATCATGAATGAAACCCTTTTTTTGGTGACTGGGATCAGTGTTATTACTGATCATAGAACTGTCCTCAAGTTCTAGGTGGCTTTTGTTGTGAAGTTGAAATTCCACTGGTCCCAGCCAGAGTATAGTCTGTGTTTATTTCTTGAAATAGTCTGACCTTTGCTTCTTTTTGGTGGAATAAAATATGAATACTATCTTACTGTTGAATTTATTTGTGAATCGAGGACCACAACTTCAAATTGTTATTTTTATTTTCAATAGGAGCTTAACTTCTGCTGTCTCCCTGAGTGACCTTTGATATATCAATAAAAAAACTTTTTGGCATCAACAACAATTTCAACTATTATGTACTCCAATCCTCCTGCTTCTGTGACTTTGGGCAAGTCGCTTCTTGTCTTTCCAATGCTCCATTTGTAATATGAAGCATTGGATTTAAGTCCAATCTCAGTGTTTGGATTTTCTATGGCTATTGAATTAGATAATCAGGGATTAGCTATAATAACTTGAAGTAATTCTTCCTGTTTGCATGAAGGATTTGCACCTGTGCTAAGGACCAATTAATGAATAATGGAAAGAAGGGACACATCACTCTTCCCCTTCCTATTCAGGCATATACTTGGGTGGAGAGGAGAATTAATGGAGTAGTGGTTAGTCTACGCTTAGGTACTGACACTTGGAGAAAGGAATTCTTAGTTCTCTAGGAAATGGGCTTACAAAGATTTCTTCTTCAGTACTATTTCTTTCTCCAATCCATCTATCCATCCATCCGTCCATCCATCCATCCATCCATCCATGGATTTATATGTGCATGTATATATACATCTAAACCATGTAATATTTTTTGACTATCCACTACATGCTAGGCACTACACAAGGGGCTGAGTGGGACCTTGACATGAATGACACCCGTCCCACCCTCAAGTTAGCTGTTACTATGTATTATACTGTGATCTGCAAATATGTTCATGGATATCTAAAGCCATTTAATAAAGTAGAATGATCTGTTTCATGAGCTGGTTCTAGTGTTATTTGAAGATATCTATAGGGATGTGCATTCAGATTAAATTAACTTGCAATATTAGGCTATAAGACTAATTGCTATAGACCAGTGAGGGAGGCAGATATTTTTAAAAGAAAATTTCTAATTTGGTATAATAAGTTCTGTGCTTGTGATTTAAGGTAAAGAAGTTGGACAAAACTATGCTTGATTTTGCTTGCCCTTGATTGGTTGCATGTGATGGGGATGTTTACCATGAGTATATGAATGAGAAGACATATGTGGTATCATTCGAGGGGACAGAAGAATCAAAGGACACATTGTGTCCAGTTTCAGCTGCATCAAAAGCTTGTCCCCAAAGCCCCAGAGCTCCATTTCTATTGTTCGTAAATGGGGTGTGTTTTTCTTCATTGAACACACAGAATTCCTAACTTTCTTGGCTCTTACATATCCTTATATGTGTATTTGTGTATATTGGATTTAAGTCATCTCAGGTTGGGGAAGTCATTTTATTTGTGAATCTCAATGTTTTCACTGTAACATTGTAATTGTTGATGGTAATGATTTCTAACAGGGTTATGGTAGATGTTAAGTACTAAATGTAAAATTCCTGACACAGTAAGTTCTTAATAAATGGCTACAATGATGATGATGAATATTGTAATTATATGTTTCTATATTGGCCTCCCACATCCCCATGTTTGTTTGTCAAGGCAAGGACAATGTCATATTCATGTTTGTGTTCTCATTGTCTACAACAGTAGTAGGGGACAAATTTATACTGCCCACCAAGAGGTATTTGGCAATGTCTGGGGACATTTGTGTTGTCATGGGTGGTGAGGTTACCACTGGCATCTAGTGGGATGCTTCTAAGTGTCCTACAATGCTAGGAGAGCCATCCCACAGTAGCTCATTATTTGGCCCCAAATGTCATTAGGGTGGAGGTTGAGAAACACTGGTCTAGAATAATACCAGATAGCAATATATACACAAGAACCTTGCTGAAGAATAAAGCATGGGTAGATAGATGACTAAGCTGGCCTTGTATATTTAAAATTGTAGCAATTATGAACATTCAGTTTAATCTGAATGCATACCCGTATACCTATTTTTAAATGACATTAGAACTACCTCATGAAACCCATCACTCATTTCTGGTTTATTATATGACTTTGGATATTCAGGAACTTAACTATGACTCATGTTTGTGGAGCACTGTGTGATATGTAACAACAGCTAACATTTCCTAAGTGCCTACCACACGACAGCTTTTCTACTAAGTGTTTTATATGTATTATTGCACTTAATCATCACAATCATCCCTACTACTCCCAGGTTACAAATGAGGGAACTGAGGCTCAAAGTAGCTATTTGCCTAAGGGTGCTAAGTTAGTAATGGAAGGAGCCAAGATTTGAGCCTAAATCCAACTGACTCCATTGCCTGCTTGTATAAACACTACATTATTGCTTCCAGACATAGTAAACTAAAAGGATTGGTCATATGTAACTCTGATCCTGGTGTTCTTACAGGATTTCAAGGCTATTCGTGATCATAACACAATAAGTTGTATTCATAAGTGTTACCATAGATAAGCTGTTGAACATTTACGTAAAGATTTTTTATCTAATATTGAACAATACCCATACACGTTTGGTAGCAATTGGTTTTCCAAGTATTTTCTGCACAGCAAATACAGAAATGAGTTATTATCTGGTAACTTGCATATATATTATGCTATTGTTTTATGTAACATCAGTAAATCAGCTGCAATAACTAGATAGAGACCTGTTTCTTAGAATGGATTAACTTTTCTCTTCCTATCTTTCATACTAGACTTTACACTCAGAAACTTGTTTTCAAAGATTGATGCCAAATCACTTCCTCTTTAGAGGAATTTCAATTTGGTTTACTCTGAAGGATTGCAGAGTCTGGCAATCTTCCTGGGCTAACTTACTTGTGGGGGGAAAAAGTAAAAATTACTGAAGTAGTAGAGGGCAATGGTGTTGCCATCAAGAGCTGTAAGAATCTACTTTTTTAGCTGTTACAGGATAGGTGGGGAAGAGATGAACCAGAAAGGGTGGGCTATATACTGCTATTGTCATTTCATCTCTGAAAAGTAAAATCTAGAAGTCCTTCATGTGACTTTGCTCTGGATATTAGCACAGAGCAGGATGGTACCTGTGCTTTTGGTTACTGATTCCTGCTTCTGCTTCGACTGTCCATTTCCCTTCCTTGTCCATCTGTCTGCTATCTATCCATGCCCTTGCACACCCAGACATTGCCTGCTAGCTGTGATCGCCCTGTGGTCTCAGGCATCAGTGTTTGAATCCAGCTCTGCCGGTCACTAGTAGTGAACTTCCGTCTTCAGTAATTAATTTAACCATGCTATTGCTCTGTGTTCTCATCTGTAAAATGGGATAACTGAAAAAGTTGTCATTACAATAAAATATGGTTGCAGGTAAAGAGTTTCAAGCAGTATCCAAAGCATAGAAAGGGCTCAATATTAATTACGATTAAAGAAGGTGAAGTAGAGAAAGGATTTCAGGAGCAATTCTCATTAGAAAAGGCAATAAAGAAAGGAAACAGTTTAAGGTGGCATGCTCATTTATTTATTTATTTATTTATTTAAAAAGATTTAGTAATTTATTTTAGAGAGAGAGAGAGAGAGAGAGCACATGAGCACCAGTGGGGGGAGGAGCAAAGGGAGAAGAGAGAAAAATCCCAAGCAGACTCCCCACTGAGCGCAGACCAGGGGATTTTAGGGAACTTCATTGTTCATTACCTGCAGCTCCCTTTTCACCTTTCTCTCCTTTCCTGCCGTCTCTACCATCTCGTCCTGGAAGGCCGATCCGACCATGGGGCCCTGGGGAACCATTTGCTCCAGGCGGTCCTGGAGGTCCTGGTAAGCCAGGGATGCTACAGATATATCTTGGGGAGTAGCTCTCTCCTTTGAACTGATTACCCCGAGGCTGTCCACTGGCACAAATGGCAAAACTTGTAACATAGAGCAAGATAAACATCTTTGGCTCTGGAAAAGAAACACAGGGACATAAATGCACCCACTCAGGTGGAAGTTTTGGCATAAATGAACATGGGAATGGGCATCGGCAACCCCTCACTTCAGTGCTTACCTTTCCATGCATGTATAAAACCCAGTTTACTCTCATAATTCCCTTGGAAACTATTAACACATTACTTATAGAGAGTTCTCAGTGCCCCGCAGAAGGATTGGTGGAGATGAAGGATTGATTTAAACAATTTCAAAATAAAGCCACTTGTATTTTTTTCCTGTGGGGTCAATGATGGAATTTGCAAAAGAACACTTTCTTTTTGCAAAAATAATGCATTATTTTTAGAAAATTAGAAATATATATGAATAAGATCAAGATTAACGTTCTCACCACTAGAGATAATTATAGTTAACATTTTGATACACACATCCTTCTGGTCTGTGTTGTGGAGAAAAGTGATATTATGCCATTCTTGTATTTTTTTCAACTTTTTTCACTTAACAGTATATCAGGAGCATCTTCCTGTCTCAAAAATTATTCATAACATTAAAAAAGATGCATTTTCCTCTACTTTCCTTTATATACATGATTCTCCATTGTAGATATTTCCTTCCAGTTTTCTGCCAACATAAACCCCATGCTAGACATTGGTATATCTAGTCTTTGCATGCATCCATGATCATTTCTTTAGAATTTACAGGCTTTTTAAAGCAGGAGAAAAGAAGTGTCATTCTCAGAAAAACATATTTTTCACTTGATAATCATGTGTAAAACCAATTAGTGTTAATTGAAGTACTGTGCATGTCCTGCAAGGGGGATTCTCAAACTTTAATTTAAAACCTGCAGGATACAATGCCCTGGTGAACCATTAAGTCATTAACACCAAGGCTCAATTAAAGAGCTGAGTGAAATTAAACCATGCATGGTGCCACGTGCTTCTAGGGAAGCAGACAACTGGTCTCTTCAGCTATGATTTAGTAGGACTTTGTTTTTCCCTCCAAAAATAGGATCCTGAACATGATGGATCATTTGTTAGCATGAAATTTGGCATATAAGCTGAGGGGTGGGCAGTATAGGCTGGGACGCCTGATTTTCTAGGCTCAATGGTCCTTAAGATTAGTAGCTTCTTGGATGGACAATGCATACACATGGTTTTGGGGAGGTGTAAATGAATAGTTCCTGGATAGTAGTATCCAATAGTTTTGGATAGTTTTGGTCCTGTGCTTTAATAAGAAATCTCAACAACGCTTGATGTACATGCCTGGCATATACTCGCCCAAAGCCAATAACGTTAAAATGTGAAAAAAGCAATAGGATGGAGTTTCCTTGTTTTTTGACAGCCACATCAGAAAATTAACCAGGCACATGGTACCAGTTTTATAATACCTTTGGGGAAATTGCAACATCTTGGAATTAGACCTAGAAATTTGCCAGAGCATAGGAATGAGAGACTGAGAAAAACACAGTGTGCACATGTGGTTCAAAATAAATGTTTCCTAGAAATCTTGTTAGCGAAAAACTGAGGCAACTTACCCAAATATAGGCTCTCTTTCCTTGACCAAATCTCCATGTTGCCAGTGTCTCTTTCCCCACATGACCCCCCACCCCCAAATCCAGGAGAATATTTTTGCTGTGTACTGTCTGCTGTAATATAACACAAACTCAAAAGTACTGATCCCATTGCTCAACTGGGATTAAGGCACTTTCTGAGAAGCCCAGAGGATCTCATAAAGATACGAGCCCTTTCAAGGGTGTTCCAGATGAAAGAAAATGAAAGAACATTCTATGCATACCCCTGCCATAGTTAAACTATAGTGATTAAATTGCTAGCTTTTTCTTGTAAAAAACTGATTAGAGGAGGTTTTGAGAAGGAATTTGAAAGAGAGGAACATGCTCATAGAAGTTACTCATAAAAAGGTGTTTAAAGAGACATGGAGGGGCACCTGGGTGGCTCGGTGGGTTAAAGCCTCTGCCTTCGGCTCAGGTCATGATTCCAGGGTCGTGGGATCGAGCCCTGAGTTGGGCTCTCTGCTTGGTGGGGAGCCTGCTTCCCTTCCTCTCTCTCTGCCTGCCTCTCTGCCTCCTTGTGATCTCTGTCTGTAAAATAAATAAATAAAATCTTAAAAAAAAAAGAGAGACATGGAATGGGATGCTGTGGCTGAGGTCAGGATTTGGTTCTATGAGGGATTTGAAATTATGTGGAGAGAAGACACTTTGGGCAGTGGCATCTCAGACACTGGTGGAGATGCTGAAAACACAAACATACCCATAGTTGGGTATTAGTTTATCAAGAAGCTTGTGGTAAGCTTCCAGGTTATGGTGGGTAGAAGAAGGAGAAATTTTAAAGATCTGCTTGGAAGGATAGTAGTATTTCCAACCACCAAGAAAAAGCTGCTCTAAGAAGGTAAAAATTAACACAATCTAAAAAGATGCATTCATTGAACAAATGGTTTGCCTTTCATTGACAAATGCATTAGGATATTATTTATTTATTTATTTATTTATTTTTATTATAATGTTCAATTAGCCAGCATATAGCACATCATTAATTTTTGATGCAGTGTTCAATGATTCATTAGTTGCATGTAACACCCAGTGCTCATCACTACACATGTCCTCATTAATACCCATCACCTGGTTACCCCATTCCTCAACCCTCTCCCTTCTGTAACCTTCAGTTTGGTTCCTGAGTTCAGAGTCTCTCATGGGTTGTCTCCCTCTTTGATTTCTTCCCACTCAGTTGTCTGTGCTATAGTCTAAATGCTAGATGCATCCCCAGTTAGAATATAATCTTTTTAAATTTATATAGAAAGAGGTGGGGCAGAGAGGAGGGAAAATAATCTTAAACAGGCTTGATGCTCAGGGCAGGGCTCCATCTCATGACCCTGAGATCATGACCCAAGCTGAAATCAAGAGTCGGACACAACTGACTGAGCCACCCAGGCACTGGCAGATGCCCTCTGTCCTACCCAGTTAGAATTTTTGAAAGGCATTCAAAATGATTACTCATTAACAATCCTCATTGGAACTGATGAAAAACATGATGTGGTGCCTGATGCACGATGACAGCATGATGGTAAGTGACCGCTCAAGTCTTGGGACTCAATTTACTATGATAACAAAGGAGTGTAGGGTATAATGGAAAACTACAGTGGCATCACCCTGCACTAGTTCTTCATTTTACTTAGAAGTCAAAAACCTCATAGTACATGGTCTTCAAGGCTCTACTGGATTGGGCACCCACCTTCCTTACTTCTCTGAAATCATCTTCCTCTACTCTCCTTCCCACTCTCCAGCTCCAGTCACTATGAATTCCTTGGTATTTCTCAGTGACACCAGGAATGTTCTGCCTTAGGGCATTCATACTGTTTCTTCTGTCTAGAACTTTCTGCCCCAAGACATCTACATGTCTCACTCTCTTATCTCCCTTTCTTTTTTTTTTTTTAATTTTTAAAAAGATTTGTATTTATTTATTTGACAGAGAGAGAGATTACAAGTAGGCAGAGAGGCAGGCAGAAAGAGAGGGGGAAGCAAGCTCCCCGCTGAGCAGAGAACCTGATGCAGGGATCGATTCTAGGACCCCAAGACCATGACCTGAGCAGAAGGCAGAGGCTTAACCCACTGAGCCACCCAGGCACCCCTCTCATCTCCCTTTCTGAGTCTTCTCAAATACCACCCTCTCCCTGAAGCCAATTCTTTTTTTTTTTATTTAATTTTATTTTTTCAGTGTTCCAAGATTCATTGTTTATGCACCGCACCCAGTGCTCCGTGCAATACGTGCCCTCCTTAATACGCACCACCAGGTTCATCCAACCCCCCACTTCCCTCCCCTCCAAAACTCTCAGTTTGTTTCTCAGAGTCCACAGTCTCTCATGGTTTGTTTCCCCCTCCGATTTCCCTCAATTCACTTTTCTTTTCCTTTTCCTAATGTCCTCTGTGTTATTCCTTATGCTCCACAAAGTAAGTGAAACCATATGATAATTGACTCTCTTTGCTTGACTTATTTCAGTCAGAAATCTCTTCCAGTCCCATCCATGTTGATACAAAAGTTGGGTATTCATCCTTTCTGATGGAGGCATAATATTCCATTGTAAATCTTACACTGTATTTAACATTGCAATAGACTTTCATACATCCTGACACTCCCTCATTCTGCTCTACTGTTTTCTCTTCTTTGTACTCACCACCTCTAACTCACTAGATTATTATTACCTTTATTATGCTTTAAAAATATTGTTTATCACCAATCTGATAGAATGTAATCTCCATGACGGTCAGGGACTTTGTCTTAGTCATTGACTTCTACAACCATCTAGAATAGAGTTTGGCACAAAAAAAGCCTCAGGTTGTGGTCAAGGAAGGATATATTTTGGGGGGCCAGGTGTTAGTTTTATGAAAAACAAAATGAAGCAGAGAGAATGGACTGTGAGAATATTACAAGGGAAAGAAAAAAGAGAGACTTAAGGAAATATTCTGGAGATCTGTGGGTCCCTTTCACCATGTTTGAAAAATACAAACAAAAGACTTGAATTGTTTTAATTTTGCATACTCTAGAGTATTTAGAAATACTTTAAATATTTACTTTTTTTGGTATAGACAGAACATGCACATTTATAAAAAGTAAATCCCTTCTCCCTCCTCCCAGTCTTACAGACATGTACTTTCCCTTTCTAGAGGCAATCATTGTTGCTAGTTTGTTGTGTGTTCTTCTTCTCCATATTTTTGGCACACTATATGCAACTTTTTGTATCTAGACTTTTTGTATCTAGACTTTTCAGGTAGCTAAGAGATTTTCTCATATATATATGTATGTGTATATATGTGTGTATATACACACACATATATATATCTTAAATCTATAAATATATTTATAGATTTAATATGTATATTTAATATTGATATATTTAAAATATATAAATAAATATACTCTTTTTATATATTGCTTGTACATTATCTTTTATTTTTTTAAAAGATTTTATTTATTTATTTGCCAGAGAGAGAGAAAATGAGCAAGCAT